GACCAGCGCGATGCTTTGTCCAGTTTTCTGGGCATCGTTGACGGAGACCCACTGAAGACTAAGTTTCACTGTCTTGCGCCCTCTTTTTTCTTGTCCACGACTCTGGATATTTTTCACGATACATTGACTTTGCAGACACGCACTTTCAAAACAAAATTATAATTTTCACTACAAATTATTTTGGCTAATTTGAATTCCAAATTAATCTGGTGTGGTATTGTGACAAAGTTGAATGAGACCCTGATAGCATGAGGAGCAAACTCTCACTTTTCTTCACGCTGCCCTCCCCACTTGGGAACAAACGGTTGAATTTTCTAAGTGTCTAACTGCCCCCTGCTTGAATGAAGGGATCAGATGAAACAGACCAGGATTTTAAAGTTGGAATATCAAATGAGGACAGAAGAATGAATACCGACTCGGAGCAGAGTGGAAGCAGCCCGGCAGGGACGGGGGAGGCTAGATTACTTTTTTTTTTCCATTTTTTTTTTTTATTGTAATAAATGGACAACAGAGACAAGCTTTATTCTTCAATAAAATTCTGTTATCTTCAGTAGCTGTGCTGTTTACTTTGTAATCCAACTACTTGAGAGAACCAGATAAATACCCTAACGGCTCGAACACAGTGAAACATTACGCGCAGTAAAAACTAGTTTTCACTAACGACACGAACACAAGCGTCAGTTAATAATGAAGACATCAACAACAAAAGCATAAGCACAAACATAGGAACCCAACGCACTTATTATATTCTTCCGCGCTATGAATTAACACAACATAAGAAAAAGCAAGGTAAACCAAAACCATGTTTGTTTTGTTGTGCTCAGCTCGAGTTGTGTTAATCTTTTGCGACGAGAAAACAAGACTAAGTTCGTCCGTTCGCCATATCTTTTTGCTCACACCTTCAGTTTTGTATTTTAATAAACTTCAGTTGTTGATGACCTCACTGAACTTAAGCCTGTGGTACGCCGCTAGTAAAATCCAGCTTTGAAATTACACTGTGTTTCCACCCCTAAAAACCTTGTCCGACATGTTCCAAAGCAAAAATAAAAAACATACTGCGTTGTTATTTTACGTTATAACTCATTATAGGAGTAGAAACACAATGCAAAGTTACTGTGCGTAATGTTTCACTGTTTGTCCGAACCTTACAATAAGCCAAGTTCTGCCTCACATACTATAAAGCTTTAAGCAATCAACAAAGCGACGGCAGAAAGATCGGCACTTGAAAAGATAATTAGCAGTTTTGCGAACATCATTTATTGTTTAAATTTTCTCAGCATTTTAACTGATTTACCTTTTAATTAATTTAATCTTTGTACGCGCACGTTTTGAATTTGATATTTGATGGATAAATGTTTGTGTTCCGTCTCAAATCCTTGAATTTTTTTTATTATTACTTTTCCTCTTGCTTTGCGTACAAAAACGAATAAATGTGCAAAAAATCAAAGCGAGCAAGCTAGGAAAGCCTTCTGTTGTTTTAATTTTCTCAATATCTTAAATTTACCTGTTAATTTGAACTTTGTACGCGCGCGTTTTGAATTTGATCTATTACCTATTACATGGCTAAATGTTTGTTCTCAAAACCTTGAACTTCTGATCATTAAATCCCTTTCTTTGCATACGAAAGCGAGCGTGCAATTTGAAGCCTTTTGTTAGGTGTCATTATTGTTGCCGTCTTCAATTGTGATTGCTTGAGCTCCAAAAGTTCGAAAAACAAAAGGGAATAAATTTCCAACTTTTTCAGTAAGCGGCTTGTTTTCATTTAACGGCATCTCACAAAATACATGCACATAGAAAAAAAAACTAACAGAAAAACTTAACTATGCTCTAAATCCGATGTCAAACTTGCGTGTGATCTTCTTCAAGGTCGTTTTTGGGCCTCACGCCTTTGCGTGACGAGCCTAAATAACGGCCGAAAAAAAGACTCCAAGTTTGATACGAGTTGCTGTTAATCAGAATTTCAATTTGCACATGTATTTATGGATTGCATTGTTATTGCAAAACAAACTGCTTATCTGAAGGCCTTAAGGTTACTGTGAACTTTCAGTCCCAAGTTACAACATGTTATTTTCTTTACTAACTACTGCGGAGTTTTCTTTACCATCAGTTGAGAATTTGACAGTTGATCAAGACAAAGCCTTCCCACTCATCATAATTATGTTTATTTCCAACACCCTTCTGCTTGGGAATTTACTCAAAGAAGTAAAGAGAAATAACATGTTGATCACTCTGGAATTGAAAAAGATGAGTGCAAATTTTCAAAATCTCCCCACTTTACCTCCTTAGAAGTACACTAAATTTTCCACGCCCAGTTTTATTCAGAGCTTGTCAAACGTACTTGGTGACTCTGTTTTAATCATTTCATTGTTGCTATTGTTGTTGCTGCGTAATTCTCATTCCATTTTGAAAGCAGTAGACTGATTTTTTGGTAAAATTAATTCAACGAATGTCAGAATGAGAGCCATAAGATTCATACTCAAAGCACTTGCTGTTGTTTTCCACAAAGAAGTTTGAAGGTTAGGCATGCAATCCAAATTCACAATCAGGTAAAACAAATTAAAGGAATAATCCAGTTCACCCATGCCAATTCTTATTTTCTTGTGATAAAAACTGCGGAATAAACTTTCCCCGCACGTGGAAATGAAAATGGAACTGAATTTAAGAATTTACACATTTCATTCACTTTAACTGAAAAATCAGCTTCAAGAATAGGAAGGTAAGTTGCTGCAGTGATTAATGTCAGTCAGATAGTCAAGCTCTAAAATAAAACAACAGATTAATCTGCCAATTTGCCATGACTTTACCATAGAACAAACCCTCTCTTCTGCCACCCCCAATCACTCCCCCCCACCCCCCACCAAACGATGTCTCAGGTTGGCTGATGATTTGATTGGTTGTATAACTATTGTAATCGTTGAAATAACAAGACGCTACGGAGCGTACACTTCGGCGTCGTGGTTGTGGAACTAATTAATTGCAAATGCGGAGGAATAGTAAGAAATCAAATATGGTAAGAGCAAGGTGTTAATTTGTGAAATTATGGCATTTGTCAGGATATTCTGAGAAGAGCAACATCCAAGAGGCCTACTTGCCAAAAACTAGCATTTCGGGACAAATTGTCTCCGAGATATTAGCCCAGTTATGCTCTGATGACTCCATACAAATCCTTCTAAAAAAACAATTCTCTATTTTTCATAGTCACATTAGGCTTCAAAAACAGCATAGCAGTCTCATGTGCTGATTAAAGAAATGTAAGGCATGGGTAAGGAGTCAATTACGTTGAGCATGGAATTGGCTAAAACTCAAAGTCACGAGTTCGAATGTTTTGAGGATAATTATTCACTTACTATCAGCACGCAGGGATGTCGGATTAACACAAGGAAGTTTAACACCAAAGGAACATAGCCTTTACAGAGCTTTAAAACACGGCATCTACCAATACAAACTTCCCTTGAACTTTGAGTAAAACTAAACAGCATCTACCAATAATAACAAACTCTCACTTGAACTTCAGATATCTTACGGCTTCCGCGAACTTGTGAACACAGAACCTGAAAATCGACCTTCGTCACACTTGACTAAACACAGCAGTCCAGCTCGTGGGAAAAAACTTAGTTCGTCATAAGAACTCGCTTGGAACTTGTATACCGTTTGACATAAGGTTCTAGAAAATACTAAACAGGCGAATAGTAGTAGCTTTTCGACATATTTTATGATTTCAGTAACTGATGCAAATCTGCTGACTCATGCTGAAATGTAAACATGCCCTAATTAATTATTCATGAATAATCCAAAAACGTAGAGAACGTTCGAGAAAGTCACGCAACGCATGAAAGCAATTTTTCTACGTAACACTCAACAAAGACAAAATGTCTTTGTGCAGCATTTTGTAACTTTAAATTCATCATAAAACAGTTCCAAAGGAGGGCTCACTCGTGAAATGTTTTCAACACTCGAAGAGAAATTTCGTGTCTCCGCGCGGCCACGAAATATCGTCTATTTAGTCCTCGAGTAATTTAAGACTAAACTCGAAGTGATCTCAAAATATCACGAAGTAGTCCGGTCTCATTTCGTGAAATAGTTGAAACAAGCCGAAAAGTCACGAACTTGCACGCCCAATTTTGTCCCGAAACTAGTGCATCATTTCATAACTATTTTTGATATCCCAAACTACCTTGGGTCGCAGTGGCGCAATCGGCTAATCCCTCAACTTAGAGTCTCCTCTGATCTGACGGGTCACACAGGTGAGTCGGTTCAAACCCCGGGAAAGCCAAAATAATAATTCTTTCTTCCTCGAAAAAGTTAAAGAATAAATCAAAGAAATCGAAGTGATCTCGAGATATCTCGAACTAATTCGGCTCTCACTTCGTCAAATAGCCGAATAGAACCGAAAACCTACAGACTTTGCTTGCCCAATCTTGTCAAAAAATTGCAACTTTGATACATTCCTGAGCGTCGCGAATCCTTTACTTCGCGCTCCGCCGAAGTAATTAGCAGCCAGCAAGAAGCACTACACTGTACATTATCAATGTGAAGTGTATTAAGTCATTCCTAAGACATATTTCCATGCTGGGAAATTGCTGGTCGAAGAAAGAGGAGATTTGAAATGCACTCATCAAGTTCACAGAAAATGAATATAGGAGTCAGCAGAGATATGCAATCTACCAACTATACCATTAAAAAACAAATACAAACTACTGCCACTGCGAATAATTGGTCAGACCCACCAGCTGTCATACAAGTCATTTCAAAAATCGGTCTGTCTTTGGAAATACCGTAGTTTGGTTAAACGTCAGACATTATGCACTGATCTTGTTCGGAATAAAAATCAACAGACGGTCAGTTATTCAGTTTGACAATCCCCGTTCGGCCAGTATTCAAACAAGTCAGTCAGTAACAACTTTAGAAATTTTGCCATCAGCAAAGCAAGTGACTTTACAAGTCCTAGTCACTCTATCCATCACAGTCACCCCACCCCTCCCAGTCACCCTAGTCATTGTAGTCATCCCAGTCACCCTAGTCACCCCAGTCATCCCTAGTCATCCCAGTCATATATCTCGTATCCAGATCATTATTGACAAAGATTTGTCATCCCAGTCATCCTACACTCCTAGTGATCCCAGTCAACCTAGTAACCCTAGTCATCCTAGTCATCCCAGTCATACTAGTCATCCCAGTGAGTCATCCCAGTCATCCTAGTCATCCCAGTCATACTAGTCAACCCTGTCATCCCAGTCATCCCAGTCATCTCAGTCATCTCAGTCAACCTAGTCATACTAGTCATCCCAGTCACCCTAGTCATCCCAGTCATCCTAGTCATCCCAGTCATACTAGTCAACCCTGTCATCCCAGTCATCCCAGTCACCCTAGTCATCCCAATCATCCTGGTCATCCCAGTCATACTAGTCATTCCTGTCATCATCCCTAGTCACCCCAGTCATACTTCTCGTCCCAGTCATACTAGTCATCTTAGTCATCCCAGTCACCCTAGCCATCCCTGTCATCCCACTCATACTAGTCATCCCAGTCATCCTAGTCATCTCAGTCATCTCAGTCAACCTAGTCATACTAGTCATCCCAGTCACCCTGGTCATCCCAGTCATCCCAGTCATACTAGTCATCCCAGTGAGTCATCCCAGTCATCCTAGTCATCCCAGTCATCTCAGTCAACCTAGTCATACTAGTCATCCCAGTCACCCTAGTCATCCTAGTCATCCCAGTCATACTAGTCATCCCAGTGAGTCATCCCAGTCATACTAGTCAACCCTGTCATCCCAGTCATCCTAGTCATCTCAGTCATCTCAGTCAACCTAGTCATACTAGTCATCCCAGTCACCCTAGTCATCCCAGTCATTCTAGTCATACTAGTCACCCCAGTGAGTCATCCCAGTCATCCTAGTCATCTCAGTCATCTCAGGTCAACCTAGTCATACTAGTCATCCCAGTCACCCTAGTCATCCCAGTCATCCCAGTCATACTAGTCATCCCAGTGAGTCATCCCAGTCATCCCAGTCATACTAGTCAACCCTGTCATCCCAGTCATCCCAGTCACCCTAGTCATCCCAATCATCCTGGTCATCCCAGTCATACTAGTCATTCCTGTCATCATCCCTAGTCACCCCAGTCATACTTCTCATCCCAGTCATACTAGTCATCTTAGTCATCCCAGTCACCCTAGCCATCCCTGTCATCCCACTCATACTAGTCATCCCAGTCATCCTAATCATCCCCGTCATCCTAGTCATCCCAGTCATCTCAGTCAACCTAGTCATACTAGTCATCCCAGTCACCCTAGTCATCCTAGTCATCCCAGTCATACTAGTCATCCCAGTGAGTCATCCCAGTCATACTAGTCAACCCTGTCATCCCAGTCATCCTAGTCATCTCAGTCATCTCAGTCAACCTAGTCATACTAGTCATCCCAGTCACCCTAGTCATCCCAGTCATTCTAGTCATACTAGTCATCCCAGTGAGTCATCCCAGTCATCCTAGTCATCTCAGTCATCTCAGGTCAACCTAGTCATACTAGTCATCCCAGTCACCCTAGTCATCCTAGTCATCCCAGTCATACTAGTCATCCCAGTGAGTCATCCCAGTCATCCCAGTCATACTAGTCAACCCTGTCATCCCAGTCATCCTAGTCATCTCAGTCAACCTAGTCATACTAGTAATCCCAGTCACCCTAGTCATCCCAGTCATCCTAGTCATCCCAGTCATACTAGTCAACCCTGTCATCCCAGTCATCCCCGTCACCCTAGTCATCCCAATCATCCTGGTCATCCCAGTCATACTAGTCATTCCTGTCATCATCCCTAGTCACCCCAGTCATACTAGTCATTCCTGTCATCATCCCTAGTCACCCTAGTCATACTTCTCATCCCAGTCATACTAGTCATCCTAGTCATTCCAGTCACCCTAGTCATCCCTTTCATCCCACTCATACTAGTCATCCCAGTCATCCTAGTCATCTCAGTCATCCCAGTCACCCTAGTCATCCTAGTCATCCCAGTCATACTAGTCATCCCAGTGAGTCATCCCAGTCATCCCAGTCATACTAGTCAACCCTGTCATCCCAGTCATCCTAGTCATCTCAGTCAACCTAGTCATACTAGTAATCCCAGTCACCCTAGTCATCCCAGTCATCCTAGTCATCCCAGTCATACTAGTCAACCCTGTCATCCCAGTCATCCCTGTCACCCTAGTCATCCCAATCATCCTGGTCATCTCAGTCATACTAGTCATTCCTGTCATCATCCCTAGTCACCCCAGTCATACTAGTCATTCCTGTCATCACCCCTAGTCACCCTAGTCATACTTCTCATCCCAGTCATACTAGTCATCCTAGTCATTCCAGTCACCCTAGTCATCCCTTTCATCCCACTCATACTAGTCATCCCAGTCATCCTAGTCATCTCAGTCATCTCAGTCAACCTAGTCATACTAGTCATCCCAGTCACCCTAGTCATCCCAGTCATCCTAGTCATCCCAGTCATACTTGTCAACCCTGTCATCCCAGTCATCCCAGTCACCCTATTCATCCTGGTCATCCCAGTCATACTAGTCATTCCTGTCATCATCCCTAGTCACCCCAGTCATACTTCTCATCCCAGTCATACTAGTCATCCTAGTCATCCCAGTCACCCTAGCCATCCCTGTCATCCCACTAATACTAGTCATCCCAGTCATCCTAATCATCCCCGTCATCCTAGTCATCCTTGTCATCCTAGTCATCCCAGTCACCCAAACCATCCCTGTCATCCCACTCATACTAGTCATCCCAGTCATCCTAGTCATCCCTGTCATCCTAGTCATCCCAGTCACCCTAGTCATCCTAGACATCCCAATCATACTAGACATCCCAGTCATACTAGTCAACCCTGTCATCCTAGTCATTCCAGTCACCTTAGTCATCCCAGTCATACTAGTCATCCCTGTTATCCTAGTCATCCCAGTCATCTCAGTAATCCTCGTCAGCCTAGTCATACTAGCCAACCCTGTCATACTAGTCATCCCTGTCATCCCAGTCGTCCCAGTTGTCCTAGTCATACCAGTCATCCTAGCCATACTAGTCAACCTTGTCATACTAATCATCCCTGTCATCCCAGTCATCCCAGTCATCCTAGGTCATCCTAGTCATACCAGTCAACCCGGTCATACTAGCCATCCATGTCATCCTAGTCATCCCAGTCATCCCTGTCATCCCTGTCATCCTAGGTCATCCTAGTCATACCAGTCAACCCGCTTATACTAGTCATCCCTGTCATCTTAGTTATCCCCGTCATCCTAGTCATCCAAGTCATCCCTGTCATCCCTGTCATCCCAGTCATCCCAGTCATCCTAGTCATACCCGTCAACCCGGTCATACTAGTCATCCCTGTCATCCTAGTCATCCCAGTCATCCTAGTTATCCCAGTCATCCTAGTTATCCCAGTCATCCTAGTCATCCCAGTCATCCTAGTTATCCCAGTCACCCTAGTCAACCCCATCAACCTAGTCATCCCAGTCATCCTAGTCATCCTAGGTAGTCATCCTAGTCATCCTAGTTATCCCCTAGTCATTGTAGTCATTCTAGTCATCTTAGTCATTCAAGTCATCCCGGTGGCCCCTGGCGCCCAACTTTTGCCCTCGGGCGACTAGAAAATCTCAGATTTTTCATACAAATCATATGCTAGGCACCCTAGATTTTACAGTTTCAGAGCACCGGGTTCCCTTCAATTTTCCTTAGAGCACAGCCTTGTTTTGGATATTTTTTTATAAACAATATTCATCACAACATTTCCTCTTTAGCATGAAGGGCTCATCTAGAGAGCTTACACTAGCACTTTTTCAGTAAGGAAAATCCCTGGTTATTAAGTCATTGAGACAGTCATCAAACTATTTAGTTGTATATGCCAGGAGAAAGTCAGTTATTCTGTCAGACAGTCAGTTGAATAGATCAATGTGGTATGAAATTTGAAGGGTACAATTTGGATTGCATATCTGCACTGCTAACAGGTACTATGATAACATTATGATAATAATATAATTCAAATAATAATAATAATAATAATAATTATCATTATTATTATTATTATTATTATTATTATTGTTATTATTATAGTTTAACAGCAGAACTTGGCTATTGTTTCAAATGTTGCAACACAGTTGATCAAAGTTAAGAAAAAACTAATCCAGGAGAAAACCATGGTTTCCGCATTAGTTTTCTGATCATGAGTACTTCACCAACAAATGCACTAAGTCTCTTGGAATTTTAGCAATCAATCAATCAAATTATTATTGCTCTTTAAACCAAATAGATTTCAATGAGTTTCAGCTGTCTTTGCATCATGATTCCTTGCAGAGAAAACTTATGTTTGCAAGCAATATTTAATGTAAAATGTCTAATTCATACACAGATCAACAGAAATACTGAACGCATTCCTTTAAAATAATGATTTATTTGCTTGGTCTTGAAGTACCAATATCATTTATTCAGAAGTCAATAATAAAATATTTGTTTGAACCTGTTGATTTCTTTTATACACTTTTGAAATGCAAGTCACTGAGTCCCCAACCACTGATCATTGGATCATCATATTCAACTTCTCAGTTATTAATAAATTAAATATCTAATCCCGGGTTCAATTTTTATTTTCACCATAATAATGTTGACCAAGCTGTACAACTGTACTTGATTTAATTTATTTTGGAATTTGGCTCTTTCATGTTGCATTTTGTTTTGCACATTTTTTTTAGTTTTATAGTTGTTGTTATTGTTATCTCATTGGAAAAAGTAAGATTGATAAACTTCTACTCCCAAAAGTGGTGCACTTGATGGTGAAATAACTGTGAAATGAAAGAAATAGGTACAATATAGTAATGTTACAACAGCTTTCCCTGGATTGGCCTAATCAAACTTTGAAATCGCCTGGCCAACAATCCTGTTTTTCTGGTTCACTAAAGAGCTGGATTACAAAGCAAAATATACAGCACATACAGAACTGAAGATAACAGAGGCTCTTTGCTTGTGAAAGTCCTTGTCCAGTCTTTCTGTGGCATCTGATCTGGAAACAAAAGTTTAAAAAAATTCAATGAAGCTCATCGGTTATTTTCAGAACAGACTATTATTTCCCATGACATTCAAACCTTGCTTTACAGATGCCCACTTAGTTCAGAAAGCTTATTATTGTTGACAGTTTGCTTTGTCCCTGGGGAAAGAAAGCCCTTATACTTTCCTTTAATTCAACCTGCTCAATACAGACAACCTGTTAATATAAACACTCTGTATGGCCCCCTAAGAAACCAGCGTATTAAAAAGTTTTGACTGCATCACATTTTCATGAATAGCAGTGAGCAACCATTTCGGAATAATTTAGTAGCATGATTATAATTAAAAAACACCCACCCCTTGACTCTACAGTCACCTCCCTTTATAGTGGACATTTGTAGGGACCTTGAGTTAGTGTCTGCATTAGCGAGAGCCCATAATATCAAGAGTCTATTTGAGTCAAATGTCTGTAATATATTTTGCAGGGGATTTAGCCGCTGTCTGAATTTTTGGGGTGTCTTTTATAGCAGGGTGTCCACAAGGCAACAGCTGACTGTACCAGCAAATGGCACTCCTGCTTTGATAACAGTCCCCTCCCCTCCATACACATTTAGTCACTCAGCCTGTTGATCAGTCACTCAGTCAGTCAGTCAGTCAGTCTGTCAGTCAGGTAGTCAGTCAGCTAGTCAGTGGCTTTTTTCAGCTCAGTCCCCCAGTCAGGTGCTTTAAGTTAGTCAGACACTTGTTAAGGTGTTCAATCAGTCAGTCATCCTGTCAGTTATTCAATCAGTCATTCCCTCAGTCAGTCAGTCAATCAGTTAAACAATCAGTCAGTAACTCAGTTACTCAGTCGGTCAGTAAGTTAGACAGTTAGCCAGTAACTAATTTGCTCCGTCAGTCAGTCAGTTAGACAGTTAGCCAGTTACTGAGTTCCTCAGTTATTTAGTCACTTGATTAGTTAGTAAGCAAATTAGTCAGTTTTGCAGTCAGTCAGTTGGTCAGTTTGTATATCAGACAGTCAGTTAGCTAGTTTCTCAGTTAGTAAGGCAGTTGCTCAGTTACGTAGTCCTGAGTCAGTCAGTCAGAAGGTCAGTTACTCAGGTTGTCAACGGGAAGTCATTCAGTTAGTTGGTACATGTAAGTCAGTTGCTCACTCAGTTGGTTAGTAACTGTTAATTTGTTGATTTGTTAGTCTGTCAGTCAAGTAGCCAGTCAGTTAGTCAGTATTTTGTTTGGTCAGTCAGTCAGTTAACTAGTCAGTAGGTACATAAATCAGTCAGTTACTTAACAAGTCAATCAATGAGTCAGTCAGTCAACAAATCAGCCAGTCCATCACTAAGCTAGTCAAATTGACAGTCACTCAATCAGCAAGAAAGCCATCCAGTCAGTCAGTAAAGCAATTTACCTAATCAGTCAATCAGTTTGCCAGGTTATCAGTCAAATGTAAGTCAGTCATTCAGTAAGTAAATTAGTAAGTCTAAGTAGTGACTGACTACCTAACCAATAATATTGACTGAATGTCTAACTGTCCTACTAACCAACTGACTGATGGACTGACTGACTTATTTATCTTTTGAAATGTGATCTTGAATAGCTGCCGTGAATCATTTGCAAAAACTGGAATGTTTTGTGAGCCTTTCAAAAGTTACCACAAAATGCACAGCAAAAAATAGGGAGGCGTAGATAACGCTGAATAAATGATAAAAGAAACCATTCATGTTCGAGGCAGGATGGAAAATGCTAAAAACTTGCAAAGGTAAAAATGTTGCATGTAATATTATCTGAAACCTTTTGCTTTTGCGCAGATTGCAACTTCATATTTTTACTTCATGCAATAGCCACCTAACGTTTCTAACGCTGGGGGGGGGGAGTTCTTTTCTTGTTTACCTTTTATCAGCAGAAATATTCTTTAGGCTTACTGGAGATGACCAACATTTTCCTTTTTTTTTTCCAAAAATGCAGAATGAGCAGGGAATTTTGTTGTTCATTCACCACAAGTTAGCCTGAAAATCATAAGTTTTAGGTACCTGTTCAGGCTCCCTGTATGAAATTTTGGTCACCTGAGGGGAAATCGTATGTGTCTCTGTTAACCAGGTGCCCATTTAGCAGCAGCCTTGAGTCAGCATGTCAGCCAGTCAAATATATTTAGTTAATCAATAAGGCAGTCATTTAGCAGGTCAGCCATTCAGGCAGTCAATGAGACAGGATTGGTGGATCCCCCCCCCCTTTATTTTTCGACTAAAATGAGGCCTGAAGAACTGAAAAAAAATTTTTTGGAGACTGCCCCCCCCCCCTTATCTGAAGGTTTGGATCCACCACTGGACAGTCACGCAGCAAGTCAGTCAGTTAGCCAATGAGTCGGTCAGTCAGCAAGTAGCCAGTTCACAAAGTTAGTCAGTTGGTTGGTCAGTCAACTGGAGGTCAGCCATCTAGTCAGTCAGTGAGTGAAAAGTCCATCAGTCAGTCAATCAGTCAGCCAGTAAGCCAGCAATTCAGTCAGTCATTCAACAAGTCAACCATTAAGTCTATCAATGAGTCAGTGAGTTAATCAGTCAGTTGGTCAGTTGATGAGACAGTCAGTCAACAAGTCAGCCTGCCCATAAAACAGTCACGCAGTCAGTGGGTCAGTTACAACAGTACAGCTCAAAAGTAAGTTACCAGTTGCGTCAGTTGGTTAGTCAGAAATTCAGCCAGACAGTCAACCAATTAGTCAGTTGGTCAATTGATCAACCAGTTAAATCAATTGACCACTCTTGAAATTATCAGTCAGTCAATAAATCAGTCCACTCACAATCACGTAGATTGCAGAACTATACTTAGGAATCAAAACAGAACTTGGCATTATATACTTATTATCTAACAATGTGGTACAGCTTGCTCAAAGTAGATTGTGTCTGCTACTCCAAGTCCATAGTGCTATTAATCCATATCAGTCAGTCAATAGGTCAGTCAGTCAACAGCTCAGTCAATAAGCCAGTTTGTCAGTCCATCAGTGAGTCACCTAGTTAGTCAATCAGTCACACACTAAGCTTGTCAACCAGTCAGTTGTATTTACAGTCTAGTTAGTCAATAAGGCAGGCATTTAACAGGTCAGCCATTCAGTCAGTTAATTGGAGACAATCAGTCAGTCAGTCAAAACGTCAGCCAGTTAGCCTGTCACTGAGTCTGTCAGTTGGCAAATCAGCCAGTCAGTCACTCAGCAAGTCAGCAAGCCAGCCAGCCAGTCAGTCAGCAAGTCAGCTAGACAGTCAACCAGTCAATCAATAAGTCAGGTGGTTGATCAGTCAACTGTAAGTCAGCCATTTTGTCAGTCAGTGAGTCAATTAGTAAGTTAGTCAGTCAGTCAACTGGACCGGTTAGTAAATTAGTCTGTCAATGAGTCAGTCAGTCAATGAGACCGTCAGTCAGCCAGTCAGCCAGTCAGTCACTCAGCAAGTCAGAAAGCCAGCCAGCCAGTCAGTCAACAAATCAGCCAGTCAGTCAACCAGTCCAT